GACGCAAAGAGAAGACAGAGAGCGCACAAGAGACCCTCAGCATTTTGGCTCCTCTTTTTATATGTTTTCCCCCCCTAGTCCTGCCCTATGTAAATTGGGCTAGCCGGAGTGCTGTTTGTTCTACCTGAGGTCCTCACTCCGGTCCTCGGACCTTCCTTTGTTCTATTTTCGTGGGCTTTTCCCTTCCTTGTCTTTTAGTCACTGCCATTCTGGACTCCTTTTTCCTATTCTAACCACCTAACAGTTCCCTTTGCAATACAAAAACTTTTAAGTTTAATTAGATCCTGTTTGTTTATTTATTTATTTGTTTTTCTTCTTTTTTTTTCCATTTGTTTGTTTTTGTTTTAATTTCTTTTGTCTTGTTTCCCCTTCAATTTGCCATGAAGTGATGGGACCAGATGCCATGATCTTCATTTTCTGAAAGTTGAGTTTTAAGCCAGCTTTTTCACTCTCCTCTTTCACCTTCATCAAGAGGCTCTTTAGTTCCTCTTTTACTTTCTGCCATTACGGTGGTGTCATCTGCATATCTGAGCTTGTTGATATTTCTCCCAGCAATCTTGATTCCACCTTGTGATTCATTCAGCCTTTTTAATATGTATTGTAAAACCTGAGGTAAATAGGATAGACTCCTTTGGCTTTTAATGTTGGGGACCAGTAGGTGTCCCTTTGGGCCCATTTAGCTTTAGGTAGTGTAGTAATATCAAATCTTGTTTTAATCACATAAATTTCCATTTTATTGGTCTCATTTTAACTAATCATCCAAATATTTCTTTATTCATTTGATATAACACCTTAAAGAAATTCTAACTTGTTGGATGTTAGAAAACTTAGTCCTCTGGCACCGAAATATATGGTGGTTCTTTCAGTTCCACAATATGTTTGGCTGTGTATGCCAAAGTTCAGTGGTTAAGCATATGATTATGTTTTCAAGGGAACAAAGCCCCCATTTTTTTTTTTAAAGAACGGACATCCAAAGCTGTTGTCCTTGTTAAAGCCAGTTTGGCATGTGGGTTAAAGGCAGTTCCAATGCCATGTGGTTCCCAGATCTGTGAAATGAGTGGACCATTAATTTTATATGTAAAGATTATGTAACAAACCTAGCAAAGGTGTTACCAAGGAACCTTTGGGAGTGCCTTTTTTTTTCCCCTAAGATGGGCCCAAAAAGGTGGAGGAAGACACTGTTCTTTTTATGCCCTCCGTTCTGTGAAAGAGATTTGTAGTCCTAGACAGATCTTATTCCTCTACTACCAGTAGCATGTGAAAGTGTAAATATTTTGATTACCAAGAGTTGGAAATAAAAAGACCTAGAGTCTATGCTAGGAAACAGATATTTTGGTATTGCTTTGGTTTTTATGGTAACTAGACTTTGCATGCAATCTTTATTTCTGGTTCTAGGTAGGGCTTCCTTTAGTTAATGGTTATTATAAACCTATTAATTCATCTGTTCTAGTCATTAAATCTGTTTTGTTTTTTGCTTTGTAAGAGTTTATTACTTCATTGTAAAACCTATCCTGTCAAATGCATTACTGCATTTAAAAATTAGAATCAAGAAAAAAAAAAAAAAAGAAATTCTAACTTGTTGGGAATCATAGTCAGACTTTCCTTACAGGTTTTTCATGCTTATATTATAATTATTTTAATACTCTTTTTAGACATTGTAAAACCCATTGAGAAGAAGCACAGACCACAAATGAAGCTTCTCAAGCCAGTTTTTTTAACTTGTTTTAAATAAACTATGGAAATCCTTAGTTTAATTATTAGATACATAATTTCACCTTTAGTTTGATTTTTGTTTATAGCTACCACTGGCTATTATGAGCATACTTTAGATTTACCAGTTAGTTTTCCCAATTTTAAATGATCCATCACTTGGCCACCAATAAAATATATCTCAATAGAAATTCAAACCATTAAGATGCAAAAGACCTCCCCATAAGAGAATGGGAGAGGATGTAACCTAAACCCAGAGAGTTTTACTCTCAAGACCAAGTTTTCAAAAACACAAACAAACAAAACAAAAAAGCACAGAACGACCTGGGAAGATCAAGTAGAACATTTACATCTCAAAGACAAAGAGAAATGCAAATTTCCCTCTAGAAAGTCTTTGTTTAAGTCTGAAAATATATTTTCACTAAGCCAGCTTTTCACAATAGTGAAACTTAATTTCATGGGCAATGAAAGAGCCCCCTCAATTTCCATGGTGAAATTTCCTCCAATTTCCAATCAAGTAAACACCTGCAAGTTTTGCATGGGTATTGGCGATTTCTCATTCCTTTTTATTTTGAGACCTTTATTTTCCATTTTGAAGTCAGTTTGTTAAGATAAAATTGCATGTGATGGACCAGTGTGTGCTTTTTGGGAGCTTAAGTTCTCTGGTTTTGCCCCAGAGTTCTTTAAGCCCCATCTTACATGTCTCGGGTTTCCCAGTGGAATATAAGACTTCCATGGGTGCTCAGATTGTGGAATAGCCAATTCTTATGTGTGTCCCCTGTTGAGCAGTTTGTTAATTACATGAGTGGGTTTACCTGTTGGAACAAGCTGCATGGTATGCGTGAGGTCTTGCTTCCACCACTCCTGCAAATTTCTCAGTCATCTGAGAAAGCTGTTGCCAGCTAGGAAGAGAGAGTCCTTTTTGGAGGTCAGAAGCTCTAGGAAGACTTCAGTTTTATTTTGACAAACTCTATTAAGGTAGCCAAGTCAAGGAAAAACAACATGCCAGTCTTACCCCCTAATAACTCAGTCCCACCTTACACAGTGTTTGAGCAATCTTCCCAGTTGCTAGACTGAGGCTGACCACTCAGTATACAAAATGAGTCTTCCCAGGGCCTTAGCACTGAGGATCACCTGCTTGAGCAAAATCTTCCCAGTGTCTGAACACCGAGGATATCCTATTCAGCACCTAAATTGAGAAGAATCTTCCCAGTACTTTGAGGATGTCCCACCCAGTGTCTAAGCTGAGAGACCCAGGTAACTTTTCTTGAAACCAAGTTTCAAGGGTAACATTTTCCCCCAGATAAAACTCAAGGTCATCAACCAGTACAGGAGATCTGAGATCCAGGAAGATTCATTCAGATCTGTCTGGATTTCAAGGAGGCAGATGGGCACAGGAGGCCTCTGGTGGTACCAAGGCTCCAGATCCTTGCAGAGCTCAGGTCAAGGATAGGAATCCATTCTGGATCCCTTTGTTGGCTGCCAAAACTGTCCATTTAGAAAATAATCACAACCTGGAAGTTGCAAGTTATGTTTTATTTGATGGGAATGTTAGGACTTCAAGTCCACGAGATAGCATCTCAAGTAACCCTGAGAGAACGCTCTCAGGAGGCAGGAAGAGGAGTCAAGTTATATAGGAGTTTGCAAAAAGGGGCAAGTAGTCTGAACAGCAAAAGATTATTGTTCATTAAAGAAAACCAGATATCTCAAATAATTTAGTGTTTTTTTATACGTGAGCAGATGCAAGAGCCCGGGCTCACTGAACTCATTTCTTTCACGTGTATTTCAGCTATCTGGGGCCAGTTTCTAATGCTTTTCACACACACCCCCCCCCCCCAGTCCTCTGTGCTCACCGTGGGGAGTGGCTGAGGCTGCTGGGTAGTAGGTATTGTTCTTTCTGGGTGCCCTCCAGGCTCAGAGATTCACATTTGGAGGGATGGAATTGCTGATGACTGAGACATACTTGTTTGTTGATATGGCAGGAAATACTTCATTTCTCACTACCCTTATTTTGAGGGTTAAAGAAAATATTGCCAGTAAAGTCCTTGGCATTGTGTTCTTCACTAAATAAAATCTAACTTCCAGTTCTGCTATTGACACTGTCATTAATGTAATTATTAACAGAGTGACCTAGAGTAAACCTCCCCAAATATTAGCTGTTCTCATGTTATTACTATTAGAAAATCTGAGCTTTTGCATTGTACTCACATCAGAGGGAAAGCCCTATAACTAGCCACACCTTCCAAGGACCCTCTGAGAAAAAATATCCTTTCTCAAAATTCAAATAACTTACTTAAATGTCCAACTTACAATGACTCTCACCTTAAACAGAATAGAACAAGTTGTGCCATTGTAAAAAACCTCAGAATCTGTGGGCTAACACTGCAAAGGTTTGTTTCTTGTTCATGTTCCAGTCAGACTCAAATCCTTTGGTAACTGTCTTTCAAGCAGTAACTCAGAGACCCAGACAGCTTCCATTGAGAGATATATATTTAAGAACTATACTTATACGTAGCTTAAACTTTGTAGCTCTCTCCTACTGATCCTAATTCTGGGATAAGTTGTGTCTCTCTCCAAGATAATTATACTTATATCCATGAATCCATTTGTCATTTAGAATAGTTTGGCTCAGTGGTAAAGAATTCACTTGCCAATGCAGGACACACGAGCTTGATCTTTGGGTCAGGAAGATCCATCTGGAGAAGGTAATAGCAACCTACTCCAGTATTCTTGCCTGGGAAATCCCATGGACAGAGGAGCCTGGCTGGCTACAGTCCATGAAGTTGCAAAAGATTAAGACACAAGTTAGCAACTAAGCAAGTCTTATTAACCATCACAATCGTTCTCATCTGAATGTACTAGTTGGTCTATTGATCTGTGTCCCTGCATCAAAACTAAGCCTAAGTTTAAATCTGACAAGTACAATCGAGTGGTACAATCACCTTTTTTATTCTAGAAAATATACTCCTATTAATTCAGCCTAAGTTTTTGCATTTTTCTTTGAAGGGAGCAGTAAGCAACACTGAACTTAACATCAACTAAAATTGCTGTAAATGTTCAACAAATTCAGTTCCCTTTCATTAATGTTGATTCTTTTCATTCTGAACAGGAATCTCCATTATGGAAAAGTCCACAAGAAAAACACGTCCAAAAGATTTGCTTTCTCTACTTTATCTACTAATAGATCACCTACTTGTTCATGCAAGTAGCTAGTCTGAGACAGGTAACTGTCAAGGCTTGACCAGCCCTGTTACTTCTTGAACTGACTGCTCCCATTCACCTTGTTGCAGGTACCACATCTGCGTGACTGTGCTGATCTACTTCCTCCCCCTGCTGGTGATAGGGTATGCTTACACCGTAGTGGGCATCACCCTGTGGGCCAGTGAGATACCTGGGGACTCCTCTGACCGCTACCACGAGCAAGTCTCTGCCAAGCGCAAGGTGAGCAAAGGGCTAGCAGCACTTAACCCACCCGGGCACAGGTGGCAGGCTGGTAAGCATGTGAGCCCGAGCCTCAGGAGTCCCGGAGGCAGTCCCTGGGTCCCAAGAACTGTAGAAAGGAGGGGAGGAAAGGGGAGGGGAGGAAGAAATCTTCCTTCAATGTGTTTGTAACCTAGGCCTGCCTGTACAGGCATAAGCCCCCTCATTCTCACCTTAAAACTAACAGAAAACTGTCAATTCATTAAAACACAAGCACACAGATTTAACTACAGAAGCATGAAGAGCTATTCAGTTCTCTTTAGTTATTACAATTTGACAAAATAATACGTTCACTTCGTTCAAACAGCAAAAAGTACTAAAAGAAACAAAACTATGGTGATGGAGAACAAACTGGGAATTGCCAGGATTAATACTGGGGGAAGACTTTGCCTACAAAGGGATTGCATGAGTGAATTTCTCTGCGAAAATGGAGCAATTCTGCATCCTGATTACTGTGGACTTTTTACTTATCTCTGCATATGATAAAATTTCATAAACTATACACCAAAAAAGTGCATGTAAAAGCTGGCAAATTCCAAATACAGCCTGTAGTTTAGGCTGTATTAGTTTAGTACTGTACTGTTTAGTACTGTACTATCATCGGTTTATTGATTTTGATTGTGTGGCATAGCTAGGTAAGATGGTATCACTGGGAGAAGCTTTGTAATGGGTACCTGAGAATTCTGTCCTATTTTTGCAACTTCCTGGGAGTCTTAAATTGTTTGAAAATTAAAAGTCAAAAAATATACTGAGTCTTACCATGAAAAGGCTCACTCCTTTCCAGGTCCTCTGTCTACCAAGTTCCCAAATGTTTATGCACGTACGCACGCGCGCGCACACACACACACATCATGGTAACCACCGTTATTTGTTATTAATCCTTTCAGATATTGTGATGTATTTATAAGCCAAATAAACATATATTCTTTTCTTTTTTACATAAATAGTAAATATGCACTTTTCTTCCCCTCATTCTTTAATTTAATAGTATCCACAAAATCTTCAAAACTCAATATAGAAACAGCTTTCTCATTCTTTTTCCCCCTCTTTTAGTACCTCTTTGCATAGTATTTCATTGTACAGATGCTAGATAGCTTTTCTTTTTTATTGAAATATAGTCGACTTACAACAGTATTTAGTTTCAGGTGTATTGCATACTGATTGGCCATTTACATCCATTACCACCACAATAATTCTAGTAACCATCTGTCCCTACACAAAGCTATTAAAATACTATGGACCATATTCCTTATGTAGCTTATTATATCCCCATGACTTACTTGAGGTCTGCACCCCTTACTTCCCTTCACCCATTTCATCCACCTGCCCATCCCCCTTCTTTCTGGCAAGCACACTTTCATTCACTACATCTGTGAATCTGCTTTTGTTTTGTTTGTTTCTTTGTTTTGCTTTTAGAGTCCACATATAAGTGAAGTCATATGGTATTTGACTTACTCTTGGAATAATACCCTCTGAATATATCCATGTTGTCCCAAATGACAAGTTTTTATTTTTAATGATTGGGTAATATTCTATTGTATGTATATGCATTTTTATACCCATTCCTCTATCAGGGGACACTTAGGTTGCTTTCATATCTTCGCTATTGTTCTAAAGCTAAATTGTTCTATTGTGCTAAAGTTCTGTGATACTGTAATTCCAGTGAATATTCAGGACTGATTTCCTTTAGGATGGGCTGGTTGGATCTCCTTGCAGTCCAAGGGACTCTCAAGAGTCTTCTCCAACACAACAGTTAAAAGCACCCATTCTTCAGCACTCAGCCTTCTTTATGGTCCAACTCTCACATCCATACATGACTACTGAAAAAGTCAGAGCTTTGACTTTATGGACCTTTGTTGGCCAAGTAACGTCTCTGCTTTTTAATATGCTGTCTAGGTTTGTCATAGCCTTTCTTCCAAAGATCAAGTGTCTTTCAATTTCATGGTTGCAATCACCATCAGCAGTGACAAAAACAAACTCCAAACAATTAAGAAAATGGCACTAAGAACATATATATCAATAATTACTTTAAATGTAAATCGATTAAATGTTCCAGCCAAAAGACACAGATAGGACGAATGGATATAAAAACCAGACCCATATATATGCTGTCTACAAGCAACCCACTTCAGACCTAAAGATACATATAGCCTGAAAGTGAGAGGATGGAAAAATATATTCCATGAAAATGGAAATCAAAAGAAAGCTGGAGTAGCAACCATCATATAAGACAAAATAGACATTAAAATAAAGAATATTACAAGAGATAAGAAAGGACACTACACAAAGATCCGAATATATTCAATGCACTCCCTATGAAACTACCAAGGGTATTTTCACAGAACTAGAACAAACAATTAAGCAATCTGTCTGGAAACACAAAAGAGCCCAAATAGCCAAAGCAGTCTTGAGAAAGAAGAATGGAACTGGAGGAATCAACTTTGCTGACTTCAGATTATATTACAAAGCTATGGTCATCAAGACACTATGGTACTGGCACAAAAACAAATACAGACCAAAGGAACAAGATAGAGAGCCCTGAGAAAAATCCATGCACCTATGGGTACCTTATTTTTGACAAAGGAGGCAAGATATACAACAGGGCAAAGATAACCTCTTCAATAAGTGGTGCTGTTTAAACTAGATAGCTACATGTAAAGAATGAAATTAGAACACTTCCTAACACCATACACAATGATAAACTCAAAATGGATTAAAGACCTAAATGTAAGACCAGAAACTATAAAACTCTTAGAGGAAAACATAGGCAGATCACTCACAGGCAAAACAGCAGAACACTTGATGACATAAATCAAAGCAAGATCCTTTATGAACCATCTCCTAGGGTAATGGAAATAAAAGCAAAATAAACAAGTGGAACCTAATTAGGTTTAAAAGCTTTTGCTCAGCAAAGGAAACTATAAACAGGGTGAAAAGGCAACGTTCAGAATGGGAGAAAATAATAGCAAATGAAACAACTGACAATGGATTATTCTCCAAAATATACAAGCAGCTCATACAAATCAATACCAGAAAAACAAACAACCCAATCAAAACAAGGGGAAATGACCTAAACAGAAATTTCTCCAAAGAAGACATACAAATGGCTAACAAACACATGAAAAGATGCTCAACATCACCCATTATTAGAGAACTGCATATCAAAACTACAATGAGATATCACCCCACTCCAGTCAGAATGGCCATCATCAAGAAGTCTACAAACAATAAATGCTGGAGAGGGTGTGGAGAAAAGGGAACCCTCTTGCACTGTTGATGGGAATGTAAACTGATACAGCCACTGTGGAAAATAGCATGGAGATTTCTTTAAAAAACTATAAATAAAACCTATGACTCAGCAATCCCACTCCTAAGCATATACCCTGAGGAAACCAAAACAAAAAAAGATACATGAACCCCAATGTTCATTGCAGCACTATTTACAATAGGTAGAACATGGAAGCAACCTAGATGTCCATCAACAGATGGATGGATAAAGAAGTACACACACACACACACACACACACACACACACACACACACACACACAATGGAATATTACTCAGCCATAAAAAGGAACACATATAAGTCAGTTATAATAGGTGGATGAAACTAGATCCTATAATACACATGGAAGTAAGTTAGAAAGAAAGATAACTATTGTACACTAACACATATATATGGAATCTAGAAAGATGGTATTGATGAATTTATATGCAGGGCAGCAGTGGAGAGACAGACATAGAGAACAGACTTGTGGACATAGTGTCGGGGGAGCGTGGAAGGAGAGAGTGAGATGCCTGGAGAGAGTAGCGTGGAAATACATATGCTAACATATGCAAAATAGATAGCCAATGGGAATTTGCTGAATGACTCAGGGAGCTCAAACAGGGACTCTGTGACAACCTAGAGGGGCGGAATGGGGAGAGAGATGGGAGGGAGGTTCAAGAGAGAGGGGACATATGGATACCTATGGCTGATTCATGTTGATATTTGGTAGAAAGCAACAAAATTCTGTAAAGCAATTATCCTTCAATTAAAAAATAAATTTAAAAAATCACACACACACACACACACACACACACACACACACACAAAGACCTAAATGTCAGACTGGGCACTATAAAAATCCTAGAGGAAAACATAGGCAGAACACTCTCTGATATCAATAATAGCAATATCTTTTTCAATCCATCTCCCAAAATAAGGGAACTAAAAACAAAAATAAACAAATGGGACCAACTTAAACTCAAAAGCTTTTGCACAGCAAAGGAAATGATAAACAAAACAAAAAGACAAACCACAGATTAGGAAGAAATATTTGCCAGTGATGTGACCAACAAGGGATTAGTCTCCAAAATTTACAAACAACTCATAATGCTTAACAGCATCAAAACAAGCAACCCAATCAAAAAATGGGCAGAAGACCTGAATAGACATTTCTCCAAACAAGATATATAGATTGCCAAGAGACATATGAAAAGATGTTCAGCATTGCTAATTATTAGAGAAATGTAAATCAAAACTACAATGAGGTATCACTTCACATCAGCTAGAATGGCTATCATCAAAAAAATCCACAAACAATAAATGCTGGAGAGAGTGTGGAGAGAAAGGAAACCTCCTACACTGTTGTTTCGAATGTAACTTGGTACAGCCACTATGGAGAACAGTATGGAATTCCTTCAGTTCAGTTCAGTTCAGTAGTTCAGTTATGTGCAACTCTTTGTGACCCCATGGACTACAGCACGCCAGGCCTCCCTGTCCATCACCAACTCCCGGAATTTACCCAAATTCATGTACATTGAGTCAGTGATGCCATCCAACCATCTCATCCTCTGTCATCCCCTTCTCCTCCTGCCCTCAATCTTTCCCAGCATCAGGGTCTTTTCAAATGAGCCAGCTCTTCACATCAGGTGGCTGAAGTATTGGAGCTTCAGCATCAGCCCTTCCATTGAACACCCAGGACTGATCTTTAGGATGGACTGGTTGGATTTCCTTGCAGTCCAAGGGACTCTCAAGAGTCTTCTCCAAGACTACGGATCAATGAGGGCTCTGGGGCTGATATCAGCCCACTGGTGTGTGGGTAAGCTCCTAGATCTAACAGGCTAAAAAGATAACTCCAAAATGACATTTGCCAAAATCAATGTCCTCAAGGTAGACTGAACTCCCTAAAATGGCTGCCACCAGTATTTTCATCCTTGGAGGTGGTCCCAATTGCCTCCTGTCTCTCCAGGAGACTTCAAGGTCAGCAGGTAGGTCTGACTTGAGCTCTCTTAGGAGCAGAATCTCTGTTTCCTACAATCTTCTCGCACTCCTGTGTATAAGCCCTGGTGACTTTCAAAGTCAGAGAGTCCTGGGTGTTGTCTTCCCAGTTCAGGACCCACTAGGAACCCAGCGTGAGGCTCAGACCTCTTATTCCTTGGGGAGGAACTATGCAATTGTGATTATCCTTCCATTTGTGGTTTACCTTCCCAAGGGTGTGGATCTTCACTACATTGCATCTCTATTTCTCCTACCCATCTCACTGTGATTCCTTCTTTATATCTTTAGTTGTAGAAAATCTTTTCTGCTAGTCTTCAGCTTTTCCTAGTTGCTTTGTAACTAGTTGTAATTCTGCTGTGCCCATGTGAGGAGATGAACTCACTGCCTTCTTATTCTACTATATTGGCCACACATCTTCTAGGTCATTCTTTCTCTTAAGATTTCTTGGGAATAAAAAGGGATGGGTTATATCACCCTATATTCATAAAGCCATTTTATGAATATTCCCTTTAAACATCTGACAATCCCTTCCTGCAGCTAGCCAAATCCTACCCATTCTCTTTCCCTCCCCCAGAGTCTTCAAGTCTACCAGCCTACTCTGACTCATGGCCCTTTTCCTTCTGCTGCTTTCTCCCCATTCCTGGATCTTTTCTTCCTGAATACCCTTTTTGCTCATTAATCTGGTCTCCCTTGGCTTCTCCAGCCATTGCCCAGAAGTATGATATGATATTCTCAAACCTGAATGCACATGAGAATAATCCGAAGGGCTTCTCAAACTCTGAATTCTGAGTCCCACATTCAAAGTTTCTGATTCAGTTAGATTGGAATGGGGTCTAAGAATTTGCATTCCTGACAACTTCTCAAGTAATATTTATGTTCCTGGTCCTGGGGCCACTCTCTGGGAATCACTGATATAACCAAAGTCCTTTGGTAACACAAGGTGGTCCTTCCTCCACCTTGAAAGGTGTTATTATATTGATAGTTACTTTATATTGCATATCGCACTGTGCACAGTTAAGTGGGCAGGATAAGAGAGAAAACCATTATAAAGGGAAGATGGGCTGCTAGTCTTACCTGTCTCACTCTCTTGCCAGGTGGTTAAGATGATGATCGTTGTTGTATGCACCTTTGCTATCTGCTGGTTGCCCTTCCACATCTTCTTCCTCCTGCCTTACATCAACCCTGATCTCTACCTGGAGAAGTTTATTCAGCAGGTTTACCTGGCCATTATGTGGCTGGCCATGAGCTCTACCATGTACAACCCCATCATCTACTGCTGTCTCAATGACAGGTAAGACCCTCATTCCCCATACTCTCCCCAGGACAAGAAACTAATAATCCTTCTGTTGAATCCCTGCTGACTGAACCAAGCGATGATTAGTTTTCTATAGTCTGCACCACTCACTCCTCTCTCATGGCCGGCTCTGCTCAATTAGGTAGCTGCCTGGGGACTACAAAGACAAACGGCCTTGTCACCATGCAGGAATAGGAGCTGTGAGAGGACATTTGTTCCTTTCCAAGAGGAGCCAGAAACACATACCACTGGTTACTAAGTCAGTATTCGAGGGTCGGGTGCAGGGCAGATAAAAACTCTCTGTGATTAATACACATAAATCAGGTTGCCAGCTGGATCAAGTTCATGAATTTGTTCAATCTACTCTAAGGATCCCATGTACAGAGAGTTGTGCATGCAGAAAGAGACAGAGAATCAGAGAGAAAGAGTCAGAGAATGAATAAGTCAGAAAGTGAGAGAGAACGAGAGAGAGAGATCGATGCCACTCGAATGTTATCCACCACATGGCATTTTTTTCCCTTCTCTGGTCTCTCATTTTCCTCTTCCCATCCCATCTGGGCAGGGACTTCCCTGGCAGTCCAGTGGTTAAGATTTCACTTTCCAATGCAGCGGGGGTAGGGCGGGTTCAGTTCCAGGTTGGGGAGCTACGATCCTACATGCCTTGCAGTCGGAAAACCAAAACACAAAACAGAATCAATATTGTAACAAATTCAATAAGCTTTAAAAATTGTCCACATCAAAAAAGTCTTAAAAAAAATTTTTTTAGGTAGTTTTGTCCAGTTTCTTCCAGTACTTTCAGCAGGACAGGGTAAGCAAAAAGAAGTCAGAGCCTCCAAGGCCTGATTCTGCCTTTGTTTGGCCACAGGGGCCAGGAGAGCCTTCCCTGAAGTGGAAGCCAACTTCAGACAAGTTAGAAAAGAAAGAACCATCAGGAATGGCGATCAGCAACAAGGAATCCACCACAGTGTGCAGAGTCTCCAAAAGGGAGCTGGGAAGCTGTGGTGACAGCTCAGTCATCTGGAGCACCAGCTCAGCCTCTGTGTGAAAAAGGGAGACGGGGAGGAGGGGAGGGATAAAAGACTTGTCACCTTTATGGCCAACAGTTATCAGCCTATAAGGGGCCTTCTATGAGACTCTCAGGGACTATGGCTTTGAAGACAGATATCCCCTGGGACTTGTCCAGATGGTCTTTGTCTAACTCACAGATGTATCTTTCTTCTAAGAGCCTCACAACCCGCCTAAATATTTCTAGGTTAAATCTCTCAGCACGTCTTTTAAGTAAAAGCTGATTCGCCATGCTTAAAACACAGGGAAACTGAGGCACACTGAAGCGACACGATTGGTAGAAAGTCAGTGAGCTACCTGAAGGAAAGGACTGAGTCTTGACACTGTATTGTACATATAATGAACACTTGGTGAATGTTTTTACTGATGCTGAACTGACCCAGAGCAGGTGGAGGCAGAACATTTCAACTACCACCCTCAGTACAGACTTGAATTTCACATGAACTTGGGTTCTAATCCTGGAGTTGAACTTGACAACTGACCTTTAAATCTTTTGCTCTTAGCATCTCCAGTTATCAATTAATTTAAAAAAAGAAGAAGACAGAGTCTCATTTGGGTATATCCTCATATTAAACAGCTTCTGCAATGGTGGGAACACCCCTGATAGCAGGCCATGCTCAAGCATTACTTGTCCATCCACTCTCTTTCCAGGTTCCGTCTGGGCTTCAAGCATGCCTTTCGGTGCTGCCCTTTCATCAGTACTGGCGACCATGAAGGGTTCGAGATGAAATCCACTAGGTACCTCCAGACCCAAGGCAGCATCTATAAAGTCAGCCGCCTGGAGACCACTGTCTCCACAGTGGTGGGGGCCCATGAGGAAGACCTGGAGGAAGGGCCCAAGGCCACGCCCTCATCCCTGGACCAGATCTCCAATGACCCCTCTCACAGCGACTCTAAGACCACGATGGAGAGCTTAAGCTTCTACTCCAACATGCTCTCCTAGACCACGGGGCTTTCAGCGGGCACGGCCACCTCTATCTTTGTCTTGCTTCGTTTCATGCATGGATAAATCTCCAGTATAAAATCCATAAGAAACACCCTTGGGACTTGTGAAAGGCTGAGAATAGTTTGGGGAAAACATTCCGTTCTGAAGTCAAAAACCTACATTCTTCTATATCTTTGTCACACATGCACTGTGTGACCGAAAAATCATCGACTTCTCTGAGCCTGTACAATGAGGTTAAACTTGATTTTCTCTGCAATCCATTCCAAGATTCTAGAATTAATTTCAATTGCATGTATTCATTTCAGGGTGATTCCTGCAATGCAGCAACAGATCAAACTGATCTGTTTGCCTAGAGACCCTGTCTTACTTCAATAAAGGTGTTCTCAATCTTGCTTAGATTATTTTCCTTTAGCTGGTGGCTCACACTGCATCAGCCTCTGCTTGATAAGGTAACAAAAGGAGAAACCAGCTAGAATCTGAATGAAAGATTTAACCTTCTCTTCTAAGCACCAATGAAAATAAGGTATACTTCTGCCCATTTTGGCATCTCAATAAATCAATGCATCATGGAATTGAGAGTTTCAAATTCATCTGTATTGTGTCCCCATTGACTATCCTGAGCCACCAATGCAAATAGAATATGTCCACTGATACTAGTTAATGTCAGTTATGAACCAAGACTCAGGAGAACTGTGCAACACTTAATCTGATCCTCTCTTTCCTTATTTGTAAAACTAAGAGGCTGAATGACATCATCTAGGTGTCCCTTCAAAATTTAACATTCATCAGTTCAATGATTTTATGTGTTTTTTGTTTGTGTAACCAAAAATTGATAATAAGAGCAGTAAGTCTAGTGACTTAATACCCAGCTCTTAGAGATGCATCAACTGCTAAGACCATGTATCAATATCCACATATGACATTCTCTGATTTGTCCTAGAACTGTGAGTACTTTCCTTCTCCTGAAAGATTTTTGCCTTTGACAGAGCAGAGGACTTTGTGTCAAAACTTGCATCTCTCTATCAGGCCTTCACAGGCTAGGTCTCACAGCCAGAGAATGCCGCTGGGAAAGACAAACGCATGGGCTCCCTGCTCTGGCCTTTTGGTTATCTTAGGGCAGGGGCACTCATGCAGATTGTTCTTTATAAGAGCATTAGGTATGTACTCAGATGCTCAATGACTGAGGAGGCTGTGCCCTGCAATCACATTTGGGGGAAGAGGCCACCTTACATCTTCTCTTTAGACTCTGAATCTCCCTTTCCTGCCACTGGCTTGGCTGGCCTCCTGCCTAAAAGAGGTAGAATGATCAATGTACCCTAAAGAAGAAGAGTCGGTCAACAAAGAGTCATAGCACTTCATGTCCTAACACAGTTTTGGGGTTACAGCAGGTGAGCATGCAATTTCTTTCTCCAGATCTGTGCTTTGTCCAGATGTGGCTGAAAGCAGAGACAACATGTAACTATATAAATGCCTTCCTCGTGGTCTGAAGAATGCATGCACAAGTCCTGCGTACATCATGTTGAAGGAGAACAGTGGTGCACATCAGGTTTACAGCCTTTACCAGCTGGGCTGGCCCTAACCCTGCTAGGGCATTGGCAGGCCATGAAGAAGCTGCATAGCAATAGTAGAAGCCAGAGGGACCTGACAGCCACGTTTGCCAAAGCAGAACGACAAGGATTAAACTAAGGAAACCAATTCAGTGTAAACATATGGATGGAATACTTAATTTAGGGGCAACAAAAGTCAGTGCCCAAAACATTTTAGTCATACTTCTAACAAACAATCAGGCCATGTATGGATTATTCACTTCAGAGGGATTTAAAGAACTGGCATGATTATGAGAAGTACCTAAGAAGAAAATGTTAAGGAGTAGGGGACATTCTCTCTATGGAAGAGTTTAGAATTGAATTTAACAAGGATTACTGAACACTTGATCTGGACTTGGCCCTAAGCTGGGGACACACGACTTCTTCTGCTCTTGAGAAAGCCTATCAGATAGGCCACTGCTAACTCACCAGTCTTAGTTGGTCTAGGCTGCCCAGCAGGCATGGAGGCAGTTGAGAAGCAGATTCTCCACAGGATCCTAAAGACCCACACTCAACATACGTAATGGGGTCAAAGTCAAAGACCTTAAGAGCCTTTTGCAATGGAAGCTCTTTGAGATAATTCCAAAGAGAGCACCAGCCAATCTAGGGGAACTGAAGGGATGTGGTTGGACAGCATCATCACTGCACATTGTAGGAGTGGGCAGTGTCAAATATGGCAGAACATTTCCTCTGAGACAGAGAGCCCTTCAAGCCTTCCACTGACCCACCCTCCAACACCCATTTAACTGATAAAAGTGCTGCTGTCTTCTCCCATGTGTGAGATACACCATGATTTGTACTGTGCATGGGTCTCACTCTTATAGAAATGTGTCACCCTGTGTTTATCTCCTAAGTGTTTTTCCTTGATATTCTGTTCAGTAGTGATAAAATAGAAGGCACCATTGGGCCATCTTTGTTATGTTACTTCCAAAATGTGAGATCCAGTTGCTGTCAGTGAGCTATTTATACTGTGCCAATTCCTCCTTGTTCTTTCAAAGACAGAAACTGATGTATATCATAGACACAGAGTAGGGCCATAGCAACTGAGGGATGGGGAGGAAGACTAAATGGGAAGGACTAAAGGACAGTTCTTATCTTCCTCACCTCCCACTAAAGTGCTAAGACATAGTGGAATTTCCTTTTTCTCAGAAAGACTAGGTGCAACCCTGGGAAAAGGGGGCTTGGGAGCTAAACTTATTGACCTGGCTTTCAGGAAGAATCAAGTAAGCAAAGACAGGGAGTTCTTAAAGTTTCTATACTTTCCAACCTGGAATCCTGGAAAAATCTCCATACAGAAATAAAGTATGTTTTTGACTACTTCTTGCCTCCGTCTCATCTCTAGGAAAACTAAGCACCCTATAAAATACTGAATGGGGTGGTACTATGAACCCTAATAAATTGCATAGACAAAAGAATGGAGCCCAACACCCAGCAAACTCCTACCTTTGTGACAACATGGGTTGGCAAGACGTGAGAACGATTTCTGGGTGGGGATCTGGGAAGGTAGTACGGGATTGTGTGAAGTGACCAACAGAGTCTCCTATGAGTAGAATTGTGTCAGTTCAGGTCCTCCCAGAAGCAGACACCAGGACAGAGTTACAAGTGCAAGAGGGAACACTGGGGAAAGATAAGGGGTGAGGAAAGCAGGTTGGGGAGGCCTTGAGACTCTGTGGAAATCTGATGCCTGTGAAAAAGGCGGGGGGAGATTGAGCAGGAGGAGCTTCCATATGAGGTACAGTCCTGAGGTACAGTCTCAGCTGGCCCACCAGCTTGCATGCAAAGGGTGCCCCACACTAGCAGAAATGGCCAGGCCTTGTACCCAACAGTCCCTACCACTGACTGGAAGCTCTCTGGGGAGAGAGTAGTCTGGGCTTGACCACCATGGTGGGTCCTGCAGGTACTGCAGCGAGAGGCCGGCAGCTGACTACACCCCCATGGCCAGCTCTCTCCTGAAGAGAGATCTGTGCCACCACTTCTACAGCCACCGCCAGAGCTTTGGGCCAGCCCTCTGTGTTTTAAAACAGGTCAGGAAGCACTTGGCAGCGTTAGAAACATCACTGGTTAATCTCTGTGAGCCCTGGCAACCTGGAAGAGAGCCCCGGAAGTAGGGGCCACCCTGTACCGCTTCATCCCTCAGGCATGCACCCTCAAAAGAGTGATGAGCAGCTGGTGGAAGACTCGCAATAACAGAGACTGTAGGCTTTAAGAGAGTGAATTTTGAGGAGAATCTAGATAGCTATGCAACATGGTGAGTATCAGAAACAAATAAATAATCAGGATGTTTATGTTAAAACCAAGGTGACTTAAATTGAGGTGCCTGGATAAGTTTCAAGGAATCCACAAATTCCCCTCAAGTTCCCCACAAATCATATGTAAAACATTGTATGTGTGTGTGTAATAAAGGGTGCAAAACCTGAATCATCTCAGAAGAAATCATTCTCCCTCTTCTCTCCAGAGAAAGAGAGAAAATAAACCGTTTACAAGAGAGGGGACAGGAGCCTCGAGGCACAGTGAGAGGTAGGTGAGCCCTGGGAGAACCAGAATGGCTGCCAGGAAACTTGAAACATCTTTGGAACAAAACTATAATTCACTTCAGGCGCCCAGATGAGTTAAAGTTGTAGAACATTCTTAAAGATGTTTGTGACAGTAAAAGCACCCAATTCAGGATTAAGGGCTGGGCTTACTCTTCACTGGAGAGATGAATATTTGTTAGCTGAAGAAAATACTAACTTTAGTTATAGGTCAAGAAATAATATCAGCTGTGGTGTATGGACACTCTTGAGGAAATTCATTTTCATTTAGTCCTATGTAGGCATGTGGCCTCATACACCATGAAGGTTCCTTAAGAGTCTTTCTGAGTTTGCTAATTCTCCCTGCATAGCTGCATCACATCCTTTTCATGTGTAAATGGTTCTTCCCAGCTCTGAAACCCAAGAAAGGGTTTCAGTCAAGTCCTCAAACAGAGGCAGGCAAGGTGGAGACACATCAAGAATGTTCTTCTCCATCTTCAAAGTTGAAGGGAAAGGGCTTCCCTGTGGCTCCACAGAATAGAATCCACCTGCCCATGCAAGAGACACAGGTTTGACCCCTGGTCTGGGAAGATCCCACATGCTGCAACAAGAGAAGCCACCGCAATGAGAAGCCTGCGCACCTCAACTAGAGAGCAGCCCAGGAAGCAGCAAAGCCCCCGCATGGACAAAAAGAAATAAAAAAATGAAGGGAGAATCGGACTGCAGAAACTGCTTTCCTGAATCCCATAGGCAATGCTCTGAAACGCCCTCATTTATCTGTATCTACTTAGGAAAACAGGGAGGAAGAGGAATCAGGCCATGTACGGGCGTGCTAAGTTGCTTCGGTCATGTCCGAACCTTTGAGAGTCTATGGACTGTAGCCCACCAGGCTCTTCTCTTC